TTCTAAGTTCCAGTTAAAGGGACAGTTTTTTTCTTCCACTATGTACTTGAACGAATTAATGATTGATATTTCATATAAAGTAGTTGAAAGACCAGATCTACATTGGATAGCATTGGATAGTAAGGAGATGAGTGATACAGTTTGTGGATAGGAGTTTAATGACCAAATCAGCTGGTGGTCGTGATGGTAATAGTTACATGACAATTTGGTTTATGAAAAAGTAAGTGTGATATAGAGACGTGAATTAATTTTGGATTTTGTCTGAGGACAACATACAAAAAAGATTATAGGAATTAATCGTGCATTGTACATTTGTTATTTGTTTTTGTGTTATTCCAGGCCTCGTTTTAGTACTTGTGTTAATATTTACATTATTCATGCAATTACGGGAGCTGATTCACTGCTAGTACTACTATGGCTGCATGGTGTTAATGGAATAAACCCTGAATTTGGAAAGCATCCTTATTTGTGTTACGGTTATCTTTCGATGGCGAAGGATGAGAACAGAAGTTTGATATACGTTCAAACTAGACTAGATGTGTCGTTCTGTTGATACTGATTTCAATCGCGTTATGCGGCAGGCATAGAGTTAATCCACGCAAATATATATATAACTAATAAAAAAACCTATCTATGCCCATTATAATCTTTTATCTGTTGTAGAAAATAAAGGAAACTGTGTGTACTATGCATACGATTCATGTAAGCAAGATAATGCTGCCTTTTATGGGGAAAGAAATATTATTTTTCGTGAAAGTCATGGAAAGTAACGTACACATGTCAGGGATACTTCGCCATTTCTTTTATCGTACTGAAAGAACACCAGGAGCATTGCAATACCAGTTAACCATTTTATATGCCTGTAGGTACGAATCTGGAAATATATGATTCCCGCACGATGCTGAACAACCGCACTCCACTGGCAAGTGTCGAACACTGCTGTCATCCGGGTACTTTGTTACGCCCTCTAGTGGTGTTCTGGTGAAACTAGAGAACTCGAAAGTCAGGAATTTTGTCCCTTCATTGTAACAGCGCCCTCTACGTGTCATTTGATTAAACTCTGCATTCAATGGAATATTTGAACATCTGTATACGAGTATTTCTGCAAACCCGCTTCAAAGTAATTTGTTAGTAAATTTCACTAATATTTAAGCAAAGTCACATTTCTTGGCACCCACTCATTTTAAACATTCGCCCCCAAATTCTTAAAGACAATTTCACGCAATTTCTTGTTTTCACCTATTCTATTTGTTTTAATTATTTATTTCGAAACAGCCGAAAACAGCCCAAGCTTTACTATTATCTTTTTTCTGTCATTAATATGAATATGTTCATGGTATATAAATACGTCAGGGATCGGTATACTAGTATATGTAGTAGGTATACATACATATATACTATCGACTTCTGGTAGTGTAACGTCACGTGACGAATCCAAGTTGGTTAGCAAAGGACGGCCAAGCATGAATGAATTGTGTTTTTTTTTGTAGACATGGCTGGCTTTTATTAAGTTGGTGACTTTAAATCGTGATTCATCTGCAAAAAAGAATGTTATTTCGGGATAATGAATAAAATATACAGATCACAACTAACATTAAAGATACTTTAGTCTGAAAACGTGATTCGATTTGAAATAAAAAAAAAAAAAACATCCCATCTCAATCTCGTGACTATCCTCAATCCTCCGCTATACTAGCACTTGACGCCCGGACGTGACGTATGCCCCTTACACGGCCATTTCATTCCAGGCACGTGACTCAGGTAACGATGACATTTTACTCTAATAATAGTGTTTGATAAACAAGTCGCAATTCAAAATACAAGATAAAGCAAATTCTATGCTTGTTTTGTACTACACAAAACACATATAAGCGTATAGTTACTTAATTTAAAAATACGTCCACTGTTTTTATTTTCGGAAGCATTTAATTGTAACCATGGTAACTATACAACCTGCGAACAGAAACACTTAATCTTAATGTATCTATATAATGCTCGTCAACAATAAGTAGATATATTAAATAATTGCTTAATCCAGCGTATGCAATATATACAGACACTTAGGTATAAATCCTTAATGTGAAAATAATAAACACCAAGAATTATTAAAACGTGCACGTCAACTATGGTTAAATTTAAATGGATACCGAACATATAAAATAACTGTTGCATTTCTACACACTCGCTACACAGTGACGCGCAGCTGGGGGTATAATTTCCTGCACTTAAACAGTAACGAACAATGGGCTTAATAGTCGGCGCAGTTTTACATAATCAAGCATACCTATTTCATTTCGAGTCTTGGCATTCCCACAACAAGTGTCGCAGGACCGTGAACAACTTAGCAAGGAGGATGGAAAATAATTCGAGCACAACTTGTAGATACGAAAAGTGGGAACTCTCCGATTCTGCTTGGCTGTTTCGAACCAATTCCACGGAGGCAAAATGTGATATTGAACGTGTTAGCGAAGGAAGAGAATCCACCAGTTGCTGGATGGCATTTCTTGGTATCTCCTTGGCGCTGCTTAGCGGTCTGTTCATGGGTATAGCGGACGTGTTTTGCGTTATCTGTGTGTATGCTGGTCTGTCTCCGGCTCAAAATCTGACCATTAGATCCTTAGCAGTCGCAACAGTGATAATACCTATTATGATGTGTCGTAGGATAAACCCGTTTAACATTAAGAAGAGGGACATTGTGCTTGCTGTCATGAAAGGCTCTCTAGAAAACGGGGCTGATATCATGTTTTACTATACAGCAGTTCTGCGTGGTATCGGAGATGCCACTGCGATCACTACTGGAGCCGTCATGGTGTTTATACCGGTTATTGCTCGTATATTCGTCAATGAGAAGCTAACAGTGAAAGACGGCATCACCATATTGGTCAATATCGTCGGCATTATTCTCGTTACACGTCCGGAATTCATTTTTGGTCCAACTCAAGGTGGGCCCATTCTGGACACTAAGCACGTAGCTTTGGGCTACATTCTGGCGCTGGTGACAAGTCTATCTTTAGCGATTGGCGTAGTGTGTTTCAAGGGACTGTCTGATGATATATCAGTTTTAATCGTTATGTTTTATTCATGTCTGTCCGGTGTACTGGTAAATTTACCTTTAATATACTTCACAAGCACCGCGCCAATTTATACCCTAATCAGTGAAAACATCGCTATAATTGGATATTTGTTTGCAATAGTGGTCTTATACATTGGTTACCTGTACACTTTCAATACAGCGCTTCAACTGGAACCTGCCGCCAAGGTGGCTCTTCTATGCAATTTCCAGGTGATGGTTAGTTTTGCTGCGGAAGTCATCGTCTTTCACAACGTTGTAACCGTTCTGGAACTTGTCGGTGCCGGCCTTGTGCTACTCAGTTCGTGCATTGTAACTATATTAGCTTGGCTATCCAGTGAAAATTATAATAATGCCAAGAAATCGAGTTCAATACAGTAATAATGAGGATGAACTAATTAATCCCAAGTACACTGTCCATGTTTGTTAATTGCTGTGTCTTATTACGTTTACTATCTACCGCACATTTATGACAAAAATGTCTGCCACTGAAATGAAATGCCACTGATTAAATGCAGGCTCATTCTCTTAAAAAATCGTAGAATGATGTTGTTTTTTTTAAAAAGGGATATAAACTTGTAGTGATTTCAATATGACTGTGTTTATTGCTGTGATCAGTTACGACGTTACAGTGGCGGATCTAAGAGGGGTTCTTGGGGTCCGTACCCCCGATGAAAAATTTATTCAATTTGTTTTTTTTTGTATAAATAATAACAACACTTTAATCAATGTTAATATTTGTAATTATATATATTGCCTTTACGAGGCATGATACTAGGCGGTAGGCGATTGTGCACAAGTGTGAAGCACGCTTTGCGTTTATATTTCATTTTAAAATTTGGACCCCCCCCCCCATAAAAATCCTGTATCCGCCAATGCGTTATTGTTCTTCTTAAAACTCAGTGTACTGTTTTTTTCAGCCAACAAAACGTATACTTCTTGTTCTGTGAGTAGTTCATTATATTTATTATTTTCAGATCAACAAAAATAAAGTACAGTATGTAAAATATGTATTTACTAGCGGGTAATTTTGTTGTTGTAGGCTGTATTGCTGAAAAATGGCAGTAGCGCCGAACTCTGGTTGATCTCCAAAAATGGCTCCTTGCTGTGAGCAATTGTGTCAGACTCAATGAAAGAGGCCCTCGTCCAATGACCTGCAATCATTCACTTAGCTGCGCCCCACTCACAGATACGATGGACGCCAGTACTGTAAATAAATCACGTGACATTCACTCTATCAATTTTCATTCTGAATACATAAGAAATACACTTTTTGAAATACACCGATGGTGTTCATACATTTGGGAGTGTAGTATACGCTGCTCCATACGTACGTACGATCGAACATGGAGGTAGAAAAGAGTAGCCTTATACTAGTACTGACTCGTATCAGTGTTCGAGTTAGTATGCTATAATTTAACGTTCGCTCAGCTCTTTATAAAATACGACTTCAGCATTTTAAATTCAACTAATATATCAGCATTTTAGAAAAAACGTACCTATGCAGTAACTGTTGATTCGGCGTACCGGGCTTCTCGTGGGAGAGGGGGGTCGGCTGCGACACCGGGGCGTTTATATATTTTGTTGGATCACGCGTTGGAGAATGTATTAGTTGGCCGCATCGCCGAAAATATACGTTGGGTTAGAGCACATTCCTTCTGTTCTATTGGTATAGAGGCACTGTGGTTAGAATATATTTCTTATGAACGGTCGTAAATTTCGATGACAAGAAAGACATTTTCAGTGCAGTTTCACAGGCCAGAAGACAAGATCCATCTGCCAAGAAATGAAGAAGCGTTTTCTGTATTAAACACTCTACCGTACCTAGCCTGACATGTAGGAATGAGTGGCCGAACGGCATCAGACCCTCACCTCACTCAGGCTGCGTTGGGTTCTTTGAAGGACCACGGAAGGTGCTACAAAAAGGCTATTTTCAGTTTTTTACTACTCAATCGGCCAAACGTAAGACAAATTCAAAATAAAGTCGCACTAGAAGGGAAACTATTGTAAATCGAGACAGGTTTCATTCAACCACAGGCAATGAGACGAACCTTAATTACCTTATTTCTCAGACCAGTATTTATTAGTGGTCTGAGCTTATTTATAGAGTTCCTCAGTAATGCTATACACACGGTGATCGTTACAGCAAAACGAAAATTTTTTACATCAGTGTTAAAATGTCTTTGGGGCAAAAATGCGTGAAAACTTTTTTCAGTTTCGTCCACAATGCGAAAAAGCTTGAAATCTATGCACCAACAAATGGTGATCTTGTTTTGCGCGCAAATTGCTACCAAGCCTTCCTTCTACATAAGAATAGATAAAAAAAATCAAATTATTTCACAGTATACCACTGGAAGGTGCCAGGCTAAGATTGTCGCCATGTTTGTAAGCGTCTACGTCTTGTCTGTTTTTATGTAGTTTGCTAGGCTAGTAGATCGCGTTTTAGGTAATTAAACAAGGAGCTAGGACAGGAAGTCACACACCAAGCGTGGGTAATTTGTTTTTATATCGTTGGACCTTTGAATTGCAACCAGGATTGGTTGGTAAGTTGGCGGCGCTTCAGAGGTATCGACGTGGTAAAGTTTATGGACGATGGCGTTGGTGGCGCTTCGGGATTTCCAGGCTAACAAGTTGGGAAATATGTTTGCAATATGTTATTCGTAAGTTAGTGTTTTTATTGGCATCTGATCATGACATTGATCTCCACGTCTCAGAGTGGATGTTTAGATGTCTGATCAACATGTAACAAATTTACTTTGTATACTGCTTAGAACGCATGGTATTATTATGTGTATAAAGGCTAAATGGTTATTATTGGCATGACTAATACTATCTCTACTGAAATTGTCCAAGATATATGCATACATGTTTGTGCAAACTTGCGTGACAGTTAGAAATCGGTTTGTAGAAATCCAGCACTTGAGTGAAATGTCATTCTGATGAGATTTTTTTAAAGGTACGTCCCTGTTTTTAATAGACAATCCCCAAGTTGATTCAAGTATATTGCGACGCGTTCTTCAATGTATGCCGTGGGTACATTGTTGATCAAGTACTTATGACATGTGGCCATCTGTATATGCTCCAAACAGGAGCTTGAAAACGGTTCAACTTTGGAATAACTAGTAGACATTGCGCTGTGTGTTACTCAGTTAGGTTGTTTGCCAAACCCCTGAAAAATGCGCTGAACTTTTTAACCAAGTTTTACACATTTGTTATGCCAACGTTGCAGGCTGTGTGTGGCATACTTAGTCAGCAAAGTGACACATATTTACATCGATCATGTTTTAACAAAATAATGAAACTGTCAACTATGAAAAAAATCTCAGAAACTCCACTCGACTGATCATCAGAGTTGAACAGTTGCACAATTTTCTTGATTTGCCACTCCCTGTCCTCGTTGCAACAAACTCATCTTTCTTCAACTAGTAATATGTACTGCTGGGGTCGCCATTTAAAAAAAAACGCTCTACTCTATTTTGATACAACATAGCTGATTGACTGTTTATTGTTGTCGCATCTTTCCTTCTTGTGCCTATTAAATACACACTGTAGTGGTTCAATCTGCCAAGGGTTAGTTTGGAGGGGTGACCCGGCCCGAAACAAACGTTCCTTGTCTGGCGAAGATGACAATCAGTAGACAGATTTGCTACAAGTTATACTTCTAAGTGTCCGAGATTTAATTTAATCTCCTTATTTTGGGGAGATTTTTTAAATTCGCTGTGATATTGCCAGGTGACACCATCAGGGTTTCTTTTTTCAAAATTACCTAAAGCTAGACGGAAGACACTCCTTCATAACGTTTTAAAATAATTCATGAATGTGAAACATGCTCTCTTGAAATGAAATACACGATATTTGATATGCTACTTACTTATTGAAACTTCAATTGTTATAAAACAAACTGTCAACGAAAGCTTGTCCCAGCTGGCAATCTCGTTCGGATGGTATGTTTTGCCATATAGCTTATAGTGTAAAGAGGATAAACCATGGGAAGCAGGCACGTGTCTTGTTTTCATATGACAGTCAGTCAATCGACGTATAGGAAATAACACTAGTATGAGAGGCTGTGATCGCAGAAATTATCAATATGGAGAAATTCAGTTCTGTAATTTGACATAATAACAAATGTTTTCTGTTTTTATTTTGTTTTTTTGCTTATGTGGGTGGACCTCAGATAAAAATAGACCAGTTTAGCGTACGATATATACCCGCGTATTTAAGTGGTATAGTGATTGTATACGTCATCGTTAAATCCATTCCTATTTATCCAAGTATTCGATGCCATATGTTTGGACATTATATGCATCTCTTGAGAGCGAAAAATGGGAAACCGCGTAGAATCCATGAAAAAAATTGATGACGACAATGCAGTAGAAACGAAGTCGTCATTTGAATTGTCTACGGTACGCGAAGCTTTGGCACTAGAACCGATCACCGATAAGACAGACGTAAAACCCAGCGATGAAAGCATGGCAACACACAAGCTCCGCCATTACTGGACCGCGGTCGTTGGAATTCTCTCGGCTGTTTCAAGCGGTATATGTTTGGCATTTTCGGATGTGTTCACTGTTATATCAATTGATAAGGAATTGTCACCAGCGCAACTGTTACTTGTCAAGTCGATACTTGTCTTTATTATATCGGTAGCAATTCTGACATATAACAAAGTTAATCCAATGAAACTATCCAGGAGGGACCTACTGTTGAATATCATGAAAGGTCTGTTCGAAAACGGAGCTTTTGTTCTGTTTTATTATGCATTGGATATCGTTGGGATGGGAGACGCGACGTCAATTGTAGCGGGCGCACTGCCGATATCTACATCATTGTTTGCGTGCGTATTACTGAAAGAGAATTATAGGTTCCAAGATTTGATCAGCTTATCAATAAACTGTGCGGGGATTTTATTAATATCACGTCCTGAATTCATCTTTGGTAGTAATCCGTTGAATATTGACACTCCTAGACCAAATGGAATTGGATATGCATTCGCAGTATTGGCTGCTGTCGGTTTAGCCATTGGAACAATCTGTTCAAGAATTATGACTGACAGGATGACACTGTTAATTGTAATATTTTACAATGGATTAACTGGTGCGATTCTAACGGGCATTTTAGTCTATCCCACCAGCTCAGAACGAATGCCCCGCCTAGTGTCGAGCAATCCAGTCTTAATCGCTTTCATAGCCGGCAACGTGGTGCTATATGTCGCGTACTTGTATTTGTACAACAAAGCACTTCAACTACAAACTGCTAGCAAAACATCCCTTCTACTAAACGTTGCACTCATTATTAGTTTTGTATCAGACGCTCTCGTGTTTCATACGCACGTACTTAGTATCGAGTTGATCGGAGCTGCACTTATTTTTCTGAGTTCCTGTATTGTTGCATTGCTTGTTTGGATTGAAACAAAGCGGGTAGTACAAGAAGAAACTAAATTACTTAGTAATAAAGACTAGGTACAGCGATCTTATTCCTATGTAGTATTATTTGAGTTATTTTAAAGGGGACATAGTTGTGATTATAAACAAAATTACCGAATATTGTAATATTGTTTTGGGCACAGTTGCAAGAACAAAATCGTCTTACACGAGGCTAATATCACATTACATGCGACGGGAGAACTGAAGGTCGAGTAGTTACTATTTTCAAGTTTGCTGAGATCGGTCACCCAATGGGAACCGTAGAAAATTACGACGCACGACTCACACTATTATGAAAATTAGCTCATGAAATCAACAGAGAGAAGACTTAGTTTCTCAAAATGGCGACGTATTTGACATTTCGCCCAGATTACCCGCTGAGTTGTGATACTGCACTGTAATCCCCGAGGTTCCCTTGACAGAACTGTATTTCAATAGACGGCGCCCTCTGGAGGCTTTGATTTAATGTACAACGTCGGTATAAATGTCCACATTTCGGCGATGGCCGTTACAAATTGGCACTATACTATAATTATAACTTCATTCCAGAAATGTTTCTGGGTCAAACTACTGCCGCTTCAAATAGATATTTAACAATATGCAAATATGATGCTCTGTCGTTTTATCGGACACACAATGAATGCAATTCAAATGTTACCTATTAAAAATTCTGTCAATTTTTGCATTGAGTAAAATACGCTAAAATAGCATGTAGCTATTTCAACGTGTTTTACATTATATCAACGTATTATATTTCATGTTGCGTCATTTATTCGCCATGGAATAGTCGATGAATATTGCACGCTCAATTCATTTTTTTTCTGTATTAGAATCACAACAATATAAAAAAAATACTTTTTTTTCAATTGCAAGAACATAGCCAATGATAAATACGATATTTTGTGGCATACAAAACAAAATTACATTCATAATAATCATTCGTTTTCCCATCTTCGCTCGCGCCATAGTTTGTGAATTCGGCCATCGCCTCAGCACTGCCACATCTTTGCATACTAGTATTCTCCGTATCCAGCCAAAGTGTAATAAGTGCGCCCTCTTTGGCAACACTAGAAACATTTTTTCCAATGCGTTACTAAATCAAACAGTTCATCAAAGCTATATCGCAGTCAAATTAGACACGTCGAGATTTTACAATTCAAATAACGATTCAATTAAATAATTTGTTTTCATACTTCACTTTACTACACTGAATAAAACAGTTCAAAAACAGTGAAAATTACCATCGTGAAATGCAAGGTAATATTCGTGTACAAGTTATTAAGGTCACAAGTGCAGTGTATGAGCATAAATTTTCATCCGTCATACTTTTGAAAACGATAGTTCGACCAACTGATTTTTGTTCTGTTGTTCTCGTTCTCCAACATGTTTAAATCTCAACCGAGACACGTCCCCCTTCTTCTGTCTATGTTGCTACGTCATTTTCGGTGGTCGTCGCGCAGCGCGTGTTCGAATTTCATGTAAATAAACAATGTATTTTACACGCGTTGTATACGTCGCTATGAGTCCCATATCGAACAGGACGCGGCGCGACGACTGCCACCCTTTAAAGATCTTTTGAATTAATCGAAAGTATATTTTTGCAAGTTTATGTTAGCTGCAAACATAGACCTTAAAAAACGATTTGTAACTCTACATCACCTAATAACCAGTACAAAAAAATGTACTTGTATTGAAATCTAGTTAAAATTCGATGCACAAGCACAAGCACTGGAAAACGCGTTGCAAACTGCCTCGGCCGATTGATTGGGAGTGACGTCATACGGCACCCTTAGCTTGGTCATTTGTTTATAACTGTAGTAGCTCACGTTGCACGCCGGAATTCGGGAAATTCTTTGTTCATCCATTTGCCTGTCCCTCTCTTTCTTAGGTCTATGCTTCAACATACCATGGACAATCGTCTACCTGTGAAGTTCGTACACCACTTACACACAGTTTCATTATATGGGACCCATATATCTCGCACATGCGCAGCGCGACGACTACCGCGCTTTAAGATGGAAAAATGTTGACCGACCCTCAATAATATTTGCATCGATATCCAGAAATGATTATTCCTATCAGTCACATTTTACGAAACAAATCGAACAATAATCAATTTCAGGGAAATGATGAAAGATTTAGTGCAAAAAAAATCATTAAATGCAGGACAATGACAATGGCTGTTAAGCTCTCATATGGCAACCAACATATGGACATACATCGAGAAAAATATGAAAAAGCTCTCTCAAAAATACCTAAATGCGTAATTACCAAATCGCATTTAATATATTGCTTTGATTTGTCGTGCAGTTCCGGTAATTGTATTGACAAATTTCTACTAGTTGTCTGAATTGTGTACATAGACCTTCTTTCAGTATTGTACTTCTGAAACCAAGCGGCATGTTGACTGAGGGAACCCTTTCTTTATTTCAAAAATGACTGAAAGATAATACAAAGCTAAGAATTTATCAGTACGGGGAAATAGCTCTGTCTTTCAAATATCATGAATGTATTTGTTAAAGCCATGGTCAATGCTAATTTACTAAAAGATATCTTTGTGCAGTGGAAAACTAGTTAAAAAGGCATTTTCAAATAAACATGACTCGGAATCTGCAATACATATGTGTTATAACTACAATGTATTCTTTTGGCACAAAAGGAAAACTGTTCCACTTTCACCCATACTTCACTATTCTAATATACATGTAAATGTCAATTGAAAGCTATTATATTGTTCTTTCATGCCTGTAATTACGATGGATGAACTAAAAATACACGACTCTCCTCTTATGACTGTCTTTAAACCACGTGAACTTCCCCCATCCCCCCCCCGTCCCTCTCCCACTAGTAATTAACGTCCAGTTCCTTGCTCCAAGTTTTCTTTCTCATTAAGTCAAACTGTTCAAAGATTGTTTTCATTATGCAATACGGCGCCTGAACGCTACCGCACTCGAACTTGTACACAATAACCATTGACCATATGCATAACAATGCCATACTAGCAAGTTTTCACAGACCACAATAAAAACACATTCCCTCGTTTCAAATTCATTAAAAGTATTACCGATTTTTAAATACTTCTTTAAATAGTTCTCTGTAAGACATTATATATATTTTTTCAAAATGTCACCGAGCAAGATTTGAAGATATTGAGATATACCTTTGTTATAGGAAACTATGATAAAATGATCATAAAATGCCCTGAAACAATATCATGTATTTATTACATATTTAATGTAATTAATACGGCGGAGCAATATTTTAGCCCTGGTATGCGCCGAGACACCGCGTCATGTGACGTCACAGCGCCGTTTGTCCATTATAAGATATAATACGGAATTCATAGGTAAACATAACATACGCCATCAATATATTAGAATGTGTACCGTGTATACTACTGCATGTAATGAATGCGCTGGCTGTTTACCACATATAATAACAAAGTTCAGACTGAAACAAGAGGTTTCTATTGTGCGATTGAATAACATTAGGACGTTTTCAAATGCCGCTGTTGCGCACTGCGCTCGTTGGTTTACTTCCATTGAAATTTATAAATATTTATAAAGATGAAGGGAACAGTTTTTTTGTACCAAGAGTATGTTCTTTTCTCAAATAATGGTCTAAAGAAAAAGCATTTTATTATTATTTATGGACGAGCGAACACACGTTTGATAAAACAGTGGAAATAATTTTGTCATTGCCCCGGAGTGTTGCTCTCAATGTTGTAAGATCAGAACAACTAATTAAATACTTGGTTACAAAATATTGTTGATTACCTGTAGACTTGAGTCTAAAGTCCTGACATGTTTACTGTAAAAACAATCGCGAGTAATCGACAATAGTTTAAAACAGAATAGGTGATAAGTTGTTCTAATCTATCACCAAGAGCAATCTCAATGTAAATCTTTGTGGTGTTTACTCACTACATTACTCAGAATTATGATACCACCCGCTTCATTTTATTGAAACGCAGAATTCCCATTGGTCGATCGGTATCACGTGCAGCCTTGCTATTAATTACAGAGCCATGTCCGTGCTTCAACATTCAATGTTTCTCCACATTTGTATGTATGGTTAAAGCACGGTGGTCGTCGCGCAGCGCTGTTCGAATTTCATGTAAATAAACAATGCATTTTACACGCGTTGTATACGTCGCTATGAGTCCCATATCTAACAGGACGCGGCGCGACGACTGCCGCCCTTTAAACAAAACAGGTACCATTAGTATTTGCCCTGGTTGAGAAATCCTGGCTACTTTCATCTGTGAATTTACCCATGTGTTCGTATGTCGTATGCTCGTGTACTTTTACATGTACCTGTAATGTAAGTGTCTACGTCATCTATTGTGTTTTCCCCAACCGGCACGTATAATCATTTTGTTCGGCAATCCATGATGGTATTATTATTATTGAAATAAATGTTTCCACAATGCCATTCATTGCGTGGTAACAGGGCTTGGATGGCGACGATCGCTTGAATATTAGACTCCGATCGACTACGTCTCGTCCATTATTGTGCACATCCACCTTCTTGATCTGTTATCTCACATAATGGGCAATGTGTCGTATTTTACGCAAGTAGTGCCCTTAAAAAACAAACAAATACAGTTCATTTCACACAAACCTGTTTGGGGGCGCTGTTAAACACTTCATTGCACATTTACGTCGGCTAGGTGTGAATGTGCCATTAAATTATCTTGCCATATTTCGGTCAGTATTAAACGGGGTCTATAATCATCACAAGTTGCATCAGGTAATCTTTAACATTCTCCAGGAATGAATGTGAATTCTAAGCATTTTCTGTCGATTTTTAGAGACTCGATCATGCAGTTACTCCATGATCCACTATGTACACAACGTTAACTGAACTACATACATGAAGCCTACTTGTGCGATTTTGTAATACATGTTTATTTATGGTGACATATGATTTAACAAAATAGCCTGTAGATAAATTATAGTTAAAGTCATAGTAAATAGTAAATATTCGCAAATTAAAAGAAAATAACAATACGACAAGTTATTTTGTGTATACTATTTATTTCATAATTGTATTCTAGTCATAATAAAAGTATGTATACAGTCGAATAGAACATAACTAATAAAAAATATTTCTATTAACTACGTCTTATTGTAGCGATTATTATTACGATCTATGCGTTTTAAAATGTATTTTTGATGTTTAACTAAGATTACAAATTTGAACATCTGAATCTAACCATGCTCTGTTCTTCTTTATACACAGCTGACACCTCCCTTTTCGGCTGCAAATATAAACACAGGAATATATTAATGTTAATGAACTAGATCACGTGATTCATGACAATTGGCTAGTCATACTCTTTCGAAATATTTGCTCGTAACTTGTGTTAGTAAGACGCATGTCAACTTCATCAACATGAACTATGGGATGAATATAGTGGTTGGGCAAGGGTACACACTTACCGTGGTCATTTGCGGCCTTAGCACATACTCCGTAATATGTGCCGTCTTCTTTCATTGCCCTCAGTGTGTCACTGAACCATGTAAGTGGATTATCCTTCCTGTATACACCATGTACAACTTCCGAATCAGAACACTCAATAACGTCCCCAATTCGAATGTATCCCTTATCAAGAGCTGGCTGTGAATAAGCTTGTTGCAGAAAGATGGCGTCATCCTGGAAAACAGATATGTCATATCGATTAATAAATTACTGATATATGCCGGGAAGAATACCTGCTTTCTATGCAATGAATGTTTGACTTCATGTGTCAGAATAAAAAAAAGATAATCTTTACCTCATCGTTTTTCAAGTTGTCGAGGAGAGCGATTAGATTTTGGGCATAGTTGCTGCTCGCTGTATCATAGCCATCTATGCCAGACAGACAAGGGTCGCCGCCAGCCCATGCAGTTACAAAACCTACAAAAACAAGCGGTGCGCATAATATCAGACAAGAACTTAATTATGAATTGCAGCCTATCGTATTTTCTATGATTCTAATATATCAACTAGCAAATTTCATTAATTACAGTTTATAAAGATGTGGTGACTGATTAATGATTAACGCGAAGAATACATTTTCTTACCAATACGCTTGCTCCCAATATTGGTCGGGTCAAATCCATTCGGGTTTCCTTCTTTAACGTAGAAGTTATATTTATTCTCAATTTCCCAGTATGATTCGGTGAAGTTAACTGCTTGGGAGCGTGCGACAGACTTAAACCAACCAAAGCAGGCATCGTATTCCTTCCCAGCGAGACCTATAATAGAAATACCATTTACGTATTTACACGATGCTCATTGAATGCGTACGTGTTCCGGACGAACCTGCGATGTGGTTGTACGTCACATGTATTATCAAGTATGCTATCGTACAAATGTATAAACTCTTACCCTTTCCAACAGTAAAATGGCGTCCATCGTGGCCCACACAGTTTTCAGTTGAATCGTAAATGCCCACGCATTTCTTTCCGGCAACTTCGCACACTGAAACATCAGAGTACAAAGAACGTTACTGAATTACATAGTCCACGCCAAACACCCCTACACACAAATGAGGGATATAGCATCCTAGTTATTATCTAACTACATGAAACGCACATGTGAAGTGAAATAGGAAGGGTAAATATTTGCCCATGCGCTCAGTACACACCTTTTTTGAGCAGATCGATCTGGAAACCTTTCATTTCACCTTCATCGTTACTATAAAAAAAAATAATAATTGTTTCAATGTATTTTCAAGGCTAAAATTGACGAGCAGCTGTAAAAAAAAAATGGCATGAATAAATTTCTAAAAGATATTGACATTTGCATGACCAGTCACTCATGCAAAAATTGTAACATAATTTCACTTTGACAGGTTGACAGGTAGCCGATCTTTGGTACATCCAGTTCAACTACAATGCGATACGTTAGTTCACAACACTATTGGTAGTTTTTGTAGTAGCCAGCGTTGAGTGGAAGTCTCATCTTGTTGACATCTTCGTTTGCAGCATAAAATTGCACATCTAATTCTATGCCTGGCTACACAACCGCCTTGCGATTGCTGTATGTATAAAGTTTCTATTCCTGACGTAGCTGGCGTCATTTGCATGAAATGCATCGTCATGCATGCGTCATCGATGTGTTTTCAAAGTTAGCACGTGATTTCAGCGCATGCGATGTTCACTAATACACACGGTGTTTTATGGTTTACGATACAGAGTGTGATCCAGAGTTATGGGGGAACCAGAATTGTAATTGCATAATTACAGCGTATTACATGATGGGAGTTTGGGTTGATGTGGCTTGTTAGGTGTTGTATATATCCGGTAGCGTCGCTTATGTGTGGGCTTCGAATACGAACACAACGTTCAGCACCATTGATGTGGTGAAACCTCATTGACGGTGCTGAATGCTACGTTGCATGGAACGTAAACTTCCAATCATCCCACTGTGATAACGCATGCGTTGTTGAATACTACGGTAAAAGAGCCCGAAGCATGCGCACTGCGTACACAATATGCTAATAACTTTTAATAAGATTATGACGTAGCCATATCTCATGAATATTATTTGAAAGTGAAGTTATTAATATAAAGGATTTAGTATGAAACGCCGGAATCGCGTATATTTGGTCTTGACCCCCCACTCTGTCTATTGTGATTATTTGAAGACTGTAAACGCTTTCTATCATTCTAAACTGGTCACCGAATTTAACAACTGTTTTTGCGGTTTACACTCAAATCTAAATAAGCTACGGCAAGCCTCACTAGGTCTCGATTGTATAACACAGCGCCACCAGTGGTTGCTCCCAGCTGTATGCGTCTGGGGAAGGTTCGCTGGTCCCCGGCGTCCTTTGCGAATGGAAAGTAGGACACATGCAAGTAGTAATCGCCATATTATTCCACTGGCTCGGGGGTTCTGACCCAAAGGCACGTGACTGAGTGACTTGATTTGAAAACATTCAAAGTCCTGTTCTACGTAAACGTGTCTGTAATACGATGCGGCCATTCATTCCTGTCTGCTTCACACTTGAGGTGGTTCTAGGCTTTTTCGCTATTTTTGTGCAAAGTGATAAAAACACGAAACTATATTCTTGAAATCAAAAGGAAAACCCATACTCCATACTTAGAAGTATCACGAGCGTAAGCGCTGACGTCAAGGGAAATAGTACAAAGAATGAAAACTTGATCAACCATTCAGAATGCTGGGACCATTACTATTCACCTGCCTCTTGTGGCTTGGTGCGCCATGACACTTGAGGCGGGAACCAGCCAACTAGGGAAGGCAAACGTACGAAGCCATTGGTGACGTGGCAGTCGTACTGTGCATAGATTGACGCAGTAATCCGGATAGGTGATCAGTATATCAATGACAAAGCATGAACAGATGAAGACAATAGGTATCGCCTAGCAACGTTTCCAAACCTAACATAGCTTTGCAATAATTAAAAGGCTTACGTGTATTCCAAAGCACTGTCAGCTACTAATGGCACGGCAAACGAATAGATACGTTTATCCTCAATTGCTTCCTTAATATCGGCCACTATTTTCTCTCGTACATTGGTAACAATCGTCTTCAACAACAACAATTTTGGTAATATGGCCTGGTCTCCATTCTTCGTTACATAGGTAGACAAAACATATTGTGTCAGTATCCATTCATTTTCAAGCATGTATAGATAGTGTGATTAGCTTCCGACAAACACCGACATTGTTTGTTCAACCATGGTGATACCCAGGGTTATATCTTATTTCATATCAGTTTTGATGTGGACCAGAGTATGCACAAATATATTTAGGCCAAACTAGTTCAGAGTACAATGCTGTATTACAGATAAGAAACAATGCCACTACCAGTACCCAATCGCAAGGACAGGGTGGGGGGTGGGGGTCTCCGATGGATTATCAAACTGGTAAAGATATATAGAATTATATTATACAACAAGATAAATTGGTAATTCGTGGATAGAATATAACATATATAGCACATACTTGCATAATTTGCTTGGCAATCAAAGCACGGAGGATAGGTGATGGGGTGTCGCCGGACAATGCACGTAATAGCGGGCTGGATTCGTCTTCTTCGCCAGCTGATTCGCTAAATATCTTCTTTAAAAGCAAAGCTTTGAGTACGGGGGGTGGTCCGCTACCACCACCAACTGCTCCACCGAGGACATTCTTCAGAAACATCATTTTGAGTATGGGTTTGTCGGAAAATTGTTCAAAAAGACCGCCATCTTCGCCGCCTTCAAAAAGCGAACCCAAAACACCTACAACACGGAGAATATGCTCGTTATATATATAGTAATTTGCAGGCATTGTGTTAAAGGAGTGTATATGGACAAACCATATTTGTCTCACCTGTGCTTAAGCACACCAAGCAGAACAGCGTCACCAGTGCAATACGTGCCATGTTTCACCCGTGAGATCTGGAACCAATGTGATTACTGAGAGGCCACTCTAGCCTTTTAAAGCTTTTCAATCGCAACGTCATTGTTTTTTTTATCTCTGTCAATTGATTTTATCTTCTACACGATATCTTACTTAAAGTCATTAGACCTATATTTTCTCGCTGTTTTATTTGTTCTGTAGCCTTTGGAATGCACCTTTGACCACTCCTGAAGATACAGTCTTCTTTTATCTGATAAGATAGGTCAGCCGGTTTAAATTGCAGTGATCACTTGATCATTTAGTCTAGGCTATTGTGTGGTGTACTTGCGCTTCGGTAGACAATTGTGACGAGAATGCTTCTACATATTAGAACAGATATTATTACTATTAGAGAACGAATTCATATTATCTAACACAACAGTATAGAGATACACAGGTAATAGTATTTTCTCCTATATGGTCATGACCACTTCAACGGATATTTGGTTTATTTGACCGAAAACATAAACTTCCTTGTTGGAAAAGTTCCTCAAGGCTTCCTCACCCCTACCCTAAACCCAAATTCTCGCGCCTCCTCCAATGTAATTGTATATGCCCCTCCATAACTATATGTTTCCCGAAGGGGAGCATATTTATTAAAAAGGAGGGGGGTCACTGGAGGGACAAGGTTAGGGTTAGAGCGCAGTTAACGTTCCTCTATAGACTATAGAGGGACTGTGGTTAAAGTTATGGGTAAGGGGTACGAGAGAATTCTTACACGCTAGCAACACTAGTATTGACTGTCATTTAAATTTAATCAAATCATAAAATAGCATATCCTGAAGTATAACATATTACTGGTGCAAGCAGTCAATTAAATAAAGCGGTATATTATTGCATAGAAATAAACTAAAGCAAAAATGGCCTCCAGTGCGCCATTTTTTGTCAATCTTTAAAAAAAATACAATGTGCACATATAACCTAATGAGCAGGATCCTGGTACAAAGTTGGAATGAAGTCGACTTGTTAATTTCCAAGAATTAGCTTTGGACACATTTACGTATTGAAATTTAGAAAAATAATGGCCGAAAGTCAGCCATATTTTATCAAATGGTAACGACTATCTACTTTCATATGTAAAGCATCATACGTGATTTTTGTGTTCCGTGGCTCCGTTCTTGCGATGTTAAGTTTATATAGTTTCACATAGTGGTAAATGTTTCTTGTAATGTCTGCATTTCAGTTCACTTTTGTCACTGGAGTACCGAAATTTACCCCAAATATGTTTTTGCTACACACTACAATGAGAGTAACCCCACGACCCAGCATTCAATCTGACCACCTGCCCAACACGTGCTAATGTGTGGCCCTTGGACCGTACTAGCCGGTGATGTCACGTGTATATACTGCGTTTAGCTTGCGGTAGACAGTTGACCTTTCAGCACCTGTTGAAGGATTCCGCCTTGTCACTGTTTTAAACATGAAACATTTGATATCATCTGTCAAAGGCATTTCAAGATCTCGCAACAGTCGCAAAAAACGCCACAATTATGTTCATAGTTGTTAAAAAATTTTAAAAAGTAAAATATACAAATATTTATAAATATTTTCATAGAAGAAGTGTTTTAAAGCACATCTAACTATTTCTTTATTTCACGAAAGCTCATAATTCCCACTAATTAAAATTCGATGTTACGTTAGATACCACCTGACTGCTAAGTAAATAAATCCTTTATTTATTTATTTATTTATTTATTTATTTATTTATTTATTTA